CATTCAAGAAAAAAAGGATAATTTAGATTTATTTCATATTTTTTTATGACAATTACAAGGTCAGTCTAATTGACTAAATGCATACATTTAAAGTAGAGAAAACAACAGATAAAGTTTTACTGTAAAACTTTGATATTTATTTAGGAGGTTGCAGAGATTACACAAATGAAATTTGACAATTTTTGGGTGAAGAAAAGTGTTTTTAATCTTAACATGAAAATCACTTTGCACTCAGAGGAGTCAACACTCTGACTATGTAAATTCATGGACAAATGCTTAATAAAAATACTTAATTCAAAAATCTAATTTTTTGTGTACAAAAGACAATGTTTATTGAAAGTATGCCAAATTTCATGAAAATACACAAAACATATTAAAAGTTATATTATGAAAACTCTGAAAGTCCCCTTGGGGTCGCAAGGTCGGTTCACACTGAAACAAGTAAACTTTTATGTTTCTGCAATCCTAGAGTGCTAAGCCTAGTTTGTTACCTTCATTTCTCAGTTACCTTTGTTTTCTTTATAACTCAATTCTATTGAAACAAATTTTTCTTTTATTTTACCACAAATATTAAGATTTGCCAGCTCTGGTTTTTATAATGAAAGAATTCGCATAATGAGATCCTTTCCAGCTGACTTTGTCATGCAATACAGAGGCTGTTTAAAGAATGTTCTAATTGGTTCTGCATCTTTATGCCATTATATGATATTTCCTTATTCCTGCTCTCTTTCTTTTATTGGTTCCTATGCAAGCAATGAAAAGTTATACATAATGCTTTTAAGCAATTGGTGAACAGCAAGATAATTTCATGTATTTATGACTTGAGAGCTGTTTTTTTCCTGGATTTTGATATCCTTGTACTTATTTTTTATTCTATTACTTTTAGGCTAAAAAAGCACTTCTAGAAAGATGTCAGTTTTTAGCAGAACACAATCATCCCTATCATTGTTGTTGTTGAATATTCACATATGTCAAGGCTCTGAAGATTTTTCTATAATTACCTCAAAGTTCTCCCTACAAATATGAAGACAATGATAACTTTAATAAAATCCAAAGTTAGATAGAGTGTATATATTTTTGGAATTTCAAGTAACAAAAGTTAACATTTTCTTACACTTAAAATGTATTTCCAAAAGGTACTTACCTCCCTCATCCAAAGCTATCCCGATCCTGGACCATTCCCTAAGCATTGCTAAAATGTTCCACTAACAGCACACCAATCTTTCATACCCCATCAGTTTCATGTCATTTCAGAACATATGTTGATCATGGGACTACCCTCCAACAATCATAGTGCACCCTCTACACTAGTGCAGCTAGCTCCCTCTGCTATTCTAGAGTAATCCTCACTTTCAAGAAATGGCAGGTACAAACCAGAAACAGAGGCATATTAGTGGGAAAAAAGGGTGGGAAGTTGGCGAGAGGAGGTAAGTACCCATCGGAAAGTACATAACAGCACGGAGAATGAAATGGACAAAGTAGTCAATCCAGATCTGAACAGGAGTACAGATGGAAATGGAAGGTAAGGAAATAGGAGAAAAGGCTAAACAACCTTCCTGGGTATCCAATGTCTTGGGAAGGAAAGCCCAATCTGGATAGAGGATAATATATGAGGAATGGTAAAGGATGCAAGAAACATTAATGGAATAAATATTGGAATGACCACATGCCAGAAGGAGGAGAAAATAGGTTTTAAGGGAAAGATGGCACAAGGAACACATTGTAATGTGTTCAAAGGAAGTACCACACAGGGCATGAAGGATAACAATGAGATCCGAATCTGGCAGAACAGACCAGACAAAGTGAATGGAAAAGGAGGGAAATAACTGGGGAGGAGAGGGCTTTCCAGATATGGGAAAAAGGGAAAGTGTTCAACAGGGCAGCCCTATAACTAACAACAGCTGACACAGACAAACCTTGATCAACGTGACGAACTGGGACAGGTGAGAAATAGAAGGATGGGATGGGAGGAAGCCTTGGCAAATGGACCAAAGTCTGAAAGAAAACAAATGTCTCTGGTACCCAGACAAGGAGGAAGGTCAAAGAGTACAGGCAAGTAATGATGCTACATGAGAGGTGAGACTTTAAGCTGAGCCAAGGTACCGTCCAAAAGCCATTCGTGAAGATGTAGTTTGATGATGTCGGGATGAAATACATCCAATCACAGTTGTCGCAGGGGCAACTGGGGCAGAGGTAAAGGCAGGGGCTGTTGCTCCAGTAAGAGCCAGAGCAGAGGGAACCACATCTGAGTCAGCCAATACAGAGCAACTAGCAGAAGATGACAAGGGGTGGTATGGATAAGGGAAATGACTCTGGAAAGGAGTCTGATAAGAGGCATATTGGTGAAGACCTGTCCAATATTGACTGAATGCATCCACCTTCAGAGTTCAGAAGTGTGAAACTGGAGATCAAAAGGAAGGAAGGAAGGTTGTTTGGCATTCCAGTGAGTAGCAAATGCATCTATATGCAGTGTTCCCACTGGAGCAGTTCTGATATGAAGATGGGCATCATCACAATGATTTGTTCATATAGTGTTCCAGGAAAAAAAAACAGAAATGAGAGGGAGGGCTCCATGGAGAAGGAAAGTAGCTCCAGATAAGAGTTCAACCGGGACAGATCTATGACAGGTCTCCAATCTCCCATCTTTCGAGGGACAACAAGTAGATGGGAGTAAAACCCTGGTTGAGTGGGTAACACCAATTCAACAGCTTCTTTGTGTAGTAGGTCTTGATCAGACTAGACAAGACGACTGGACAAAGTATGATCTCAAGGAGAAGCGAAGGAGATCTGGGAAGTGGGGGGGGGGGGGGCAGAACTAAAGGCAGAAACTTTCAGACAGAACCCATGGAACTGTTGTGAAGTGTATATACATAAAGTACTCATTACTAACAAAGTAACAAAACCTAGAAATTTATAGAGTCTACAAAGTACATAAATATAATGAACTTGCAAAACTATGAAATTCAACATAAAACAATAAGCAACACCTAAAGTACAAAACCACTAAAGGAATTTAGAAGATAAAAGACATGTAAATATCGAAATTATAAGTCCATTAAAAGGAACTAACAATCATAAACACTAAAAGGAAGTATAACTAACAAATAAACACACCCACAAAGTTTGCTGAAGTTACAATTACCCAAACAGTAACCAATGTACAAAACCCAAACATACACCGAAAATTAAACAAAAAAAATAAAACTATAAACACAAAGCTAAACTTAAGTAACTTAGATGGTAAATGAATTATAAAAATCTAGCTTACAAAATATTGAGAAAAAAAGACATGAAAGACCAAAATTATCACATGAGGAAAGTAGGTCAATTCCCGCAAGCTCACAAACTCGCTAAACATGGATATACCTAAAGGGAGTGAGGAATGTGTGCTGAAAAACTTACCACAGATCTCCTGGGAAAAAGAACAATACCTAACCGAGAATATCACATGGAGGCACGGAAACAGATGGAAGATGCCGTAGAAAGAAATTTTTGCTCAGTAGTCATATCCATCCACGCAAAAGATCGTAATGTGTAAGGAAGAAACCCTCATCCAAACATAAGACACGAACTCCTCATGAATTAAAGCCTGTACCTTCCCAGCAGACATCATCAACCCTGAGACCCGTGAAGACCATTGTCGATTATCATGGGAATTCCATCATCTGCCAGATTAAATCTCGAATTCATACGAACAAAGTAGAACTCAAAAAACAGAAATACTTCTTCAGCAAGCAAGCAGAAATAATGGAAATCAAACATAAGAAGTCAAACTTGAAGTTGAAACTGATATAAACTTGTAATCAAGCACAATCAAGATTTTGTAGACTCACAGAGAGCAAGTTAAAAAACAAATTTACACACTAGATGTCAATCAAGAAAGTGAGGATTACTCTAGAATAGTAAAGGGGATTAGCTGGACAAGTTTAAAGAATGCAGTATGATTGGTGGAGAGTAATCACATGATTAGCACATGTTCTGAAATGGTGTGAAACTGAAGGGTTTTAAAAGACTGGTGCACTGTTAGTAAAAACTTTAAGCAATGCCAAATTAGAGAGTAATCAAGGATCGGGATAGCTTTGGGTGAGAGGAGGTTAATTTTTTTAATCATTGTTCATGCCTGAATTTTGTGCCAAGGTTTGCCAAGAGCTTTCTGAACAAAGCCATATTTAGCTTTGAACTGATAAACTGGAGGAAGAGAGTAAATAACACCTATCAATAACTCTTGTCTGACCAAACAGTGGGATATGAAAACCAATATTATAGTACTCATGACCCCAAGGTACGAAGCTAAACAGTGTAAACCATAAATCCTTGCATTAAAAATCCACATCCACTAATCACTAGGGTATACCTAGCCATTTTTATTTAAGTATTTGCATTCAAGTAACATAAAATTCTTCAACTCACGTTTGTTGTCATTTTAATGTACACTAAAATCCTTCCACCCAATTTATGAAGAAATAAGACTAAGCATTAAAATAATTGTCAAGAAGTGGGGACTTGATTACTACTTGCTTGATTAAGTACCTTTAGTTAACATGATGTTCAATCAGAAAAATAAGCTATAACCAATGAAATTTTTAAAAAAGTTATATCTGTGTAAATATTGTTAAATACGTTTTTAATTCCCTTCTTTAACTTAAATTATTCACAAGTTATTAATACATGCATGATTTTACAATACAAAACAGAAGGTAACTAAACATAATGAGACAGATTTTAAAGTGTCTTGCTTAGAAACCTTGATAATGTAATGTTACAAAACCAGGTCTGCTCTTGGGTACCATTTTAAATAACTCTAAAATGCCCCCTTCCCCAATGGTTCAGTGGGCTTATCACACTAAAACTTGTGGTTCAATATCCTTGGTGAACAAAATTCAGGGAGTAAAATGTGTAGTTTTGTACTTAAAAACAAACAAACGAAAACTCTAAAATCACAGGCTTAGAGCAATAACTAAATTTCAATATCACATAAAAATTTACACAGATCAACAAACCATGTGCTCCAAACTGCACCAATGGCACACAATCCACAAGTTGAACTATTACATGGTAAAGACCTTTATAATCAAGGCTAGGAAAAAGGGTTGTTCTGCTATGATCCTTATCGGGTGACTGCAGGACTTCGAGTGGTATACTGGGAACATCCCTCAAAACACTAGAGAAAAAATATAAGCCATGAGTAATATTCCATTATTAATATAGATTAAAAACTATCAACCCAAACATTTTCCTCTTTTCATATCATTGCTGGATTTAAAGAAACACAGTTTAAGCAAGGTTGATGTCTTATCTTAAAGATATAATTCCAACCCTTTTATCTGACTATTAAAGCTAATAAATATACGAGGTATCTAATTAAATCATGTAAACTTTCATTTTAAGTAACTTGGCTGTAAATCCAAGGGTATGATAACTTCTCCAATGACTAATAGGATACGATACTAACTTCACACCAAGTGTCAAATCTTCCTCCAGGAACGAGAGAGTTTTACCTCATGCTAACAACAAGTTGGTTTAGTCTACCTCTAGTTTTTATATTAAAATCCCAAAACATCATCAGGACTTGAAGATCCCAAACCTCAATCAGATCTCTTCAAGCCCTACTCCTTGCCAGTAAAAACATCCATTCCTATACTGCCAACTCCCCACACCTAAAATCATCCTAACAGTTATTCTTTGAACCCTCTTCAACAATTCAACATCCTTCCTCAAACATGATGACCAAAACTGAACACAATATTTCGAGTAAACTGTTCATTTGTATGTATTTATTTCTATTTATACACATATTTCTATGTATACACTGATCCTTAATGTAAAAAAATTTTCAAGATGTAACAACACATGAAACTAGTTGTTGATGTTAAGTGTATAAGTATTGGGTTCACAGTTAAGTGATGAACACAGGAACCACACCAGACATTTAATTAGTTGTTATTGTGGAGTGTGTATTAGTATTAGGTACACAGTTAAATGATAAACACACAAGAACCACACCAGACATTTAATTAGTTGTTATTGTAGAGTGTGTATAAGTATTACATTCACAGTTAAGTGATGAACACAGGAACCACACCAGACATTTAATTAGTTGTTATTGTGGTGTGTGTATAAGTATTGGGTTCACACGTAAGTGATGAACACAGGAACCACACCAGACATTTAATTAGTTGTTATTGTGGAGTGTGTATAAGTATTGGGTTCACAGTTAAGTGATGAACACAGGAACCACACCAGACATTTAATTAGTTGTTATTGTGGAGTGTGTATAAGTATTAGGTTCACAGTTAAGTGATAAACACAGGAACCACACCAGACATTTAATTAGTTATTATTGTGGAGTGTGTATAAGTATTAGGTTCACAGCTAAATGATAAACACAGGAACCACACCAGACATTTAATTAGTTGTTATTGTGGAGTGTGTATAAGTATTAGGTTTACAGTTAAATGATGAACACAGGAACCACACCAGACATTTAATTAGTTGTTATTGTGGAGTGTGTATAAGTATTGGTTTCACAGTTAAGTGATAAACACAGGAACCACACCAGACATTTAATTAGTTATTATTGTGGAGTGTGTATAAGTATTAGGTTCACAGCTAAATGATAAACACAGGAACCACACCAGACATTTAATTAGTTATTATTGTGGATTGTGTATAAGT